GAAAGTGTAGATGGATTGGACACTCGCTCGATGAGGAGGCCACTGGGTGACATCGCGCGCGCGTCATGCCATTGCTCGAGTGGAACCAGGCCGAAAGGGAAGCTACTAGTGGGACGTCCAAGGGTGGGTGACATGGAGAAGATCGTGTGAAGAGGAGTTGAAAGAGTATGGACTAAGATGGATGCAGGTGAAAGTACAGCAGAAGACAGAAGCAAGTGGAGACGTGCAGTTGAAGCCCTATGTTCCACTGGGAACCCAATGGGACAATAATAATAATACTATCTTAGATCTTGAAGCGTTTATTCAAAGTTGGTGTTTTCATTAGGCGGAAAGTTAAATTAAAGTCACAAAACTGGTCAAATGGAATTAGGCAGTAGTGGTTAAACGAATTAAAATATTGTGTGTATTTCGTTGAAATCAAGAAATGTCAATAGCGTTTGATGATGACATTTTTGCGATGAGACTTCAACGTCCTGTCTTTTAGTTCAATCATCAAAATTAAGGAATACTGAAGCAGTGATCTAAATTATTATTTTTTTACTTAAAAAAACACATGACTGCTTTTTTATCATTATTTTCTCCAAAAATGAGAATTAAAACTTCGAATTGAACTTTCTCTTTAAGTCGTTGTTGAATACTCTCCAGTGCATAATTTCCCCTTTCAAATATAAAAACATTGAATGCCTAGTATTTGATATCTTGTTAAATAAAGATTTACACATGTGATAATTATTGAAAAAGATGAAAAAGATTTTCTTCAACCTACAAGTTAATTTTTTTAGTGTTATCAAAGTTGTCTGTTTAAATAATTTTCAAATTGAAGTGTACTTTTAAAATAATCATCTTATCTACAGAAATGTTCAACTTTTATGCCTACTGCTGAATGCAAAGTGATTGTAGATATATATTGAAATAAATAATTAATTAATTTCCCTAGTTCCTTTAATTCTGTGTGCGCGAGTGTGTGTGTGTGTGTGTGTGGCAAACTCGTGATCAAGTTGGAAAAAGTAGGAAAATGCCGACTGTCTTTTCAAAAAAATAAAAAAATAAACGGTGAAATTCATTGAAAAATTCTACAGTTTAAAATTATGATTGAACTAATGCAACATATTCACAAGCGCATATGTTTGTGAATACGCGTCAATCTCTTTCAAACAAAATTAAATCGTCATGTGCTACACACACTGTTTGCTGCATTTTTTTTAACTACTACAAGGAACAATTAAAAAGTTATGCACTTTTCATATAACTAAAAAATATATAAAACAAGAAATTCAGCTTAATTTTACTTAATTAACTGTAAACTATTCAAATTAGTAACAATATTTTGCATATAGTCAATGGAAAATCATTTATTTCAGAACTTCACGCAGAATAAATTTTGATATGTAAACAAACTGGAAACTAGTCACACATTCGCCTAGAAGTGTGATGATATAGTAGAAACTAAACTCTGTTGACGATACGTAGGTATATGTTGGTATTTAATTGCATTTGAGATTTTCCCGTCGATTGATTGGACCGAAGTGCTCGGTCTCGGGTTGACATGTCGGCTTCTAGTGCAGATGCTTCGGCGATGTCTGGGCCAACACCAAAGCGTTGAAACTATGGTCACTGGGTTAAAGCCTTGGTGGGAATACCATCACTCACTGGGAAATGCAGGTACATCCAGATGATGAGTTTCAATTAGGGCGAAATGCGCATCCTGGATTCCACTGCTAGTCACCATCCATCAATTAAATATGTTGGTATTGTGTGAAAAAGTCTCATCACTGAAGTGATAATGGAACATAATCATTCACCGTATTTCAGATAACCCTGACTTTGGGCAGTATGCAAGAACATAAATCTTTAGATTTCACTATTCAGAAAGTTAAATTCAGGTAACAGGAATTTCTTTATTTCACTCCATTGTGTTCCAAGGGGAACATAGAGTCTCAATCTTGAGTTATTTTCTGAATTCTCTATTGCAGTGGCGGTATTCTTTAAACTGTGAAGATGCTAGCCTTACGCTTAACCTACTCTCAGTACTGGACTCACTCTGGGTTAGGCGATATTTATGGGTGCATTCGCCATTTAACAGAAAATTAAAACATTCAAATACAAGTAATACTGTCATATGGATGAGGATAAAAGCTACTGTGAGGTGTTTTCTTGCAAATCATAGCAAACGCTACAATGGATACTCCAGCGGTGTAAAAAGGTTGGTAAGATACCTTTAAAACAGCCAGATGTAATATCTGAATATGATTACAGTATTCCTGTTAGTACATAATATTAAATCACATAAGACCAACTACTTGAAGAATTTCATATCGTAATTGACCACCTCTGTTCAACCTACTGAAGCATATTTGAAATGAAAACGCGGTAAGTTTGTTTTGCTATAACTTCTATTCTCACATTTGTTATTTAGCGGGGCGAATTCAGCGCGTTCATTCACACGTGTCAAACTTCAAATAAACAATGCGCTGATAGCTTTGTAGGTAGGACATACTATCAAACAAACAGAAATTTAAACTGCTTTAAGAGCATACGTTGGTTTTGAAGTATACGAACGCAAATGAACACATAGGTGACTAAATAAAAGATAAAGATACTGAAATGTTTAGTATTGTTTATAAAGTAGTAAAATGTCCTCAACGTGTATACAACACTTAAACTGTTGTGAAAACTATTCATATATTCGACTTTACAGGAGAGAAATTAAGTTATGCATGAATGAAAAAATGTACTTTCTACCTAAAAAAATTATTCTAAAGACTTCCTAATAACTAACGCTATTGTTCACATTAAGTATTTTTCTAATTTGTGAAAATGTTTCACTCCTTTGGTCATACTTTGTATATTTGAGTGCATCTACCTAAATTTATATAAACACATATACCTCCTTTACACTTATATTTGTCATGAAAAGACATTTGCTAGTCATTAACTTTGTATACACTTATTTCTCTTAATATTCAACTTATAACTTCGAAGATGAATGGAAAAAATTGAATGGGAAAAAACACAGCGTACTTTTGAATTAGTTGTGATTTCGAGTTTCAACTATTTCATTGTCGCATTTTATGTAATGGTAAAATGTTAAGTTGGAACATAAGTCATCTGGATTGTACGTGAAAAATACTTGGGAGGTAATATCACAGGAATGTTGCAAATAAAATGACAGTTCCCTCTCTGTTTATAGAAATACCAACAAAGGAGTTTTGTCTCACAGCAGTTTTTATGTTATTACCTCTGTAAAATAATGATTATACCTTAAGTAGTTTTCAGTTTTTCAAGATACCAACTTCATAGTGTTCTTTATACTTTTGTTAACATTTAGAAGGAGTGCAGGTAACTGAATACTTCATTCCAATGAGAGCGTTTCGCTGATTAACAAAAAAAACTAAGCCAATAAACTCTTTGTGACGTAAACATTCTGATTTATACATGTTCAAACAACTACCCATTTGATTCTCATGCAACTCTTACCCACTACTTGACAAATAAAGGTAAAATTATGCTAATTGTACGGTATAGTAGCAATAATAATGCATATAAGTAGTACATAGTGTGAAATAGTCATGAGACGTAAAGGTAGTTTTAATCGAGCAGCTAATATCACTACAGGATAAACAAGGAGCAGAGATTGGTATCAACTACCGGTGAGAATTAAATAAGTGACAGAAAAAATATAACCAAATATGCGTGATACTCAAAACATTTGGAAAACTGTGGAATAAATGCGAGGTGTGTAATTCAAGTGTTAGCTTGTAGAGATTTGACTGGTCACAGGATTTTATCATGAGCTGACATTGATTAAAGAATGACTGGAAAACCTGCAAGCACTTGATGATCGTTCTTTCCTAGTTCGGGACTCTTCATCAGTGCGCATCCACCGGGGTTCGAACTCAGAACATTCTGGTTACAGGGCTAGCGAGTTCGTACACTATCAAACCACTGGGATCCAGTTCAATAGCCAGCCCATGAATTCAAACTTCTGACAATTCATGACATAGCGTGACCACTAGCCAATGTTTTCGGAGAGTATTTGTCCTCATACCCGACCTGCTGTACCCTACTGTTCACAACTTCCCACCAGAACCTCACGTGACTACCTTCTTGAACAGGGACAGTCAATACGCAGCAACAGATTTATATTCAAGCGTTGGTTTGCAGGGATTTGTTTGATTTCAGGATTTCATCGTGAGCTGACGTCGGTTAGAGAACCATTGGTTGATCCTGGGTTAAAACCCCAGTGGGTGCATTATGATAGAAAGAGCCTCAAACTGGGACGAAACAGCTACTTAAGACTCCAAGGTTTTCTAATGGTTCTCTTACCAATGTCAGCTGATGATGAAATCCTTAAAGGTCACAAGTAGTATCACATACCTTTGTAAGTCAGTTTTAAGTATCTTTGAACAGGAGAAAAAATCCCTTATTCTTGATTTCCTATGTATCTTTACCGAAAAATAGGATATTTTCATTTCGGAATACTAAAACACCTGTGGTTTAAATATGACGCAAAGTCTGAACTGAGTCATACTTATTGTTTCACATCATTGGTTAAAATCTGTTGATATGAGTTTTTTTCTTCAGAGCCGATGCCAATCTAGTAAAAAACACTATTTATTAAGTTTGGCAGCCGAAGAAGCTATGTATTAAAGAGCAGTAGTAGAATTTGACTGAGTAACGATTGGATAATGCGACAGACAACGGCAACCAACGAGGGAACAGGCATAAAATGGATACACAAAACTTGGAGGATTGATTCGCCGATGAATGTCTGATTTCCCAAAACTGGAAGATATGCAAGTGAAAAGAACAATTGGCAGAGACATCAAAGTAGGTAACGAAAGTTAGACAAATATTTTCTTTCAGTAATAAATGACACAGTATTTACCAAAATGTGGATTTTATTACCACAATCCTTACAATGGTTACATTTTTTGTTGACAAAATATTGTTTAAAATATTCTTAGCTTTAATGGTCAACTTAATAAAAGCTAACTAACCTTCAATAAATTCGATACGATAATCATTTGGTGGCCAGTTTTTAACAATTTTAGTCGTTGATCTTGTTTGTGGCATTGACTCTGATGAAAATGATCTGGAAGAGGGTACCGAGAATACTCTGTTGTTTGACCTTTTGTGATTATTCTGTTGATGAGAGACATTCTGATCAGTTGAAAATGTGTTCTTCAGCTTATTTAATAAGGTTTCATTCAGTCTAAAAGTGTTGTCAACTCCATTATTATTGCCTGTCTTTTCAGGTGACGTATTGTCATTCACGTTTGAAAACGTCACTGGAGCATAATTTGCACTGATAACATCTTCTTTGTTTTCCAGTGTACCTTGATACTGATATATAAGGTTGACTGGTTTTATCTCTTTCTCAGCTCCTTTAAATCCATCTTTATTATTATCATTGTAGATCACATCGCTCTCACCTTTATTATTATTGTTGTTGTTCTTATTTAGATTGTCTTGTTCAACGGATTCAATATGAAATAAGTCACATTGGACGAAGAAATCATTTAATGATATTATAGTGAGAGATAAGAAAAGAATATAATCAGAATTTAATAAAGACAACTTCATCTGTAGTGAGCTGAAGACATTCTCTGTTGTAATTGATAGTATCCTTTAGTTTTCATAAAATTGAGTGAATATTAGGCAAGTGAATTTATCACAAATGACCAATAGTTCGTGCTAACGAAAAACACAGCAAGCGGCTCATTTGTTATAACTTTCTTCAATCTTAATCTTTTTTTAGTTTGTTGTTTTTTGGTGAAATGATTCCGTTTAATAAACACGTGTCAGTGATTTTTGTATTTTGTCTGTAAATAACAGTTTTGCGGATTTAGTAATAAATGCTATCAAGATAACCAGTATCACAGTTAATGTTAACTTTCAGTTAAGCGTTCACTGATAAACTGGAACTCCGCTTCGACTTCTTGAGAGTAAGTGACTGTTGACGATGAAGTTGTTAGCAAATAGCTTCTCCTTCATTGAAATATCCACTTGAAAACCGGTTCCCTGAATAAAATCAAAACAAGAAGACAAAATGAATTTAATTCCCTGTTAATCTAAAACTAAATGTTACATTTTAATTAAATATAGAAGAAAAGTAGTGAATGCAGTTGCATAAAATCTACACTGAACAACTGATTCCCACAGTCAAAAGGCATTTATGTTTACCTTAGCACTTTGTGCGATTTTCTTTAGAATTTTCAATAGTTATCTTAGTCCCCTGTTCAGTGGAAAGTGATTATGCACAATTAAAAAGTTATTCTGTTTAAAGTTCAAGTATAAATACGGGCAAATAAATCACTTAATATAAATAAAGTGTTTCCAATTTCTTGACCATTTTTTTCCTCTCTGATTGGTCTGTTAATTAATTGGTGTTAGTAACGGTTAACCAATCATATTATAACCGTGCTCTTGTAATTACCTTAACTCTGCTGCAATCCTATATCAAATTTTGATGGTAAAGAAATAAAAACAATCGTAATTATTTTTTTTGGTTATTTTGATTGAATATTTGTTTAAATAATACACCAGATTTAATTACCTAAACTAAGGTTATGATTTGTTTGTGCTGTTGAATTTAAATCACTCATTCAGTAAACTTTTAAACTTGACACAATGAAGCCTTTCCCTTGACCTGACAATTAATCAGACATATTGTACGCAAGCTTAAGATACTGCCTGACTGTCCAACCGTCTTTGTCTAAAAGAAATTCGAACCAGCAGCGTGTCAGCTGAGCATTCAGTCTTCAGAGAAATTAGTTATCAGTGGTGCTATTCTTCCTTATTGATGGTTAGTACGAATAATGATAAAAATTTTAAAGGCCCTACTTCGGTGTATCTTTAAAAACAACCTACTAAGCTTAAACGTAGAATATCTCACAGAAGTGCAGTAGTTCGATATGTGATATTTCATGTAGCATACAAAGGCAGAAGCAAAACCCTACAGAACCTTAATGAACAGAAATGTGCCGGAGAAATAATTATTATATGGAGAATCATGAAGATTCAGAAAGTTTTGTAAGTTACAAAGATTGAATGTATCTGCACCACTGAAAACAATTTTAAACCATATCATCAAGTGTCTCAGTGATTGGTTCTTAGCATTTTGAGGGGCCCAACCAGGCAGTCTACACCTCTCTATATGGCTGGTTTATACCAACTATCAAAGGCATCATAGATAGATGCAAGATTCTGGTTTGGCCATCGGCAACTTCTCCCCAACGTAATCCAATGTCGATGAGGAAGGCGGTTCAGCATGGATTACCAGTGCCTTGGTCTTTAAAAACATTATACGCATGATTTAACGTGATTTGTTAGATAAACTGAAAGTTTTTTCTAAGCTACCGCTGCATAGAGTTATGGGATATTTGAGACATTCTAAGCATACTTTTCGAAAACTAAAAAGCGCTAATTTCAGCAGGTAGAAAAAGAAAATAAACGCTAGTAAAAATTTACGTATCTTATTAGGTGCTTGAAGGTTGTGAATCACTTCCATCTATCACTTTTTTAATAAATGCAACGATTCTAAATGAATATCTTGATAATGTAACGTTAAAATGAACAACTGGCAAAATAAATAACACCCAACACTTCAAGGTGGATTTAATAAAAAGTTTACATTCTCTGAAAGAACATTGGTAAACTGGGTATCGCTGTAGAGAGGTCTTGTTCTTTTTTTTGCTGTTCAGCAGTACGCAGTAATAAACGCCGAACATGGGACCGTTAGGTTGCGTAACAAGTTATCTTTAGGCCGACGCTTTGAAACTGAGTCTTCCGTAAATGCTAACCTTCGTCACTTCTCAGTACATCACTGCACTTCACTGTCATCAATGATTAACTGTCGCCTCACTACTTGGTCGACGCCATCAGCGAAGATAAAAGAGTCATTCGAATACACAAGCTTACCTAGGAACAAACTGTGGTGGTTATAAGTTCCTGTAGAACCCATTAAACAAAAGAATAATTTAGTTTATGTAATACCCTGTAAACACTGTTAGGTCAAATACATAAATAAAAGTAGTAAGCTGGGGTCACTTAGACTAGCGCAGCACAAGAACCTAATGAAATTTAGATTAGTCAACCTTAATAAAATAATAAATTTAGTAAAAGGTTCAACTGTGGAAATACTCAGAGTTATATACAACCATACAATATAATGGGACGGTGGCCGTGTTAAATCTAATGTAATACAGCGGAGAGGTTGATAACTGAAGCTTTATTCATGAAATCAAGTGAGAATACATGCAGTAAGAATGACTCAACACTTATGCCAGATATTTGGAAAATTTTACTACGCTTAAGACAAATTTGAAAGAAAGACGAGAATTAATAAAGCCAAGCTTCGAATTCGTCAAATTAAAAGTAGTATGTTTACGAAGAATAAATTTTGTTACACATCCTATAAAGCAATTAATATAGCATAATATACTACAACAGTGCCCAATTTTTATAAACATTATTAACCCATTGGAAAATATTTTTCATTAAATTTTTTCGAAACGTAACTTGAGGCTTTTCACTGATGAATAGTTGAAATTTTTGACTACATATGATGGATTCATTTCACCAAGTTCTGATGAAAACGTGTGTCCTGTCAAGTTCTTGCGTCACATGTGAAAACATTTACTAAACAAATTATAAAATTGAAGTCAGTGCTATATTAACGGGATGTAAAAGTTTAGAGTTCATCAGTTATTAAATCTAAAACGAATATCTGAATATTTTTAATTTTTTTTATTTTTTTGATTACAGCTTGATTCCTCACTGTATTTGTTGGTACAGGTATGTAATTTTCAGCATGTGATATCGGTAGCCCAAATTTTGCAGGCCGACCATAGACATCAGGTGTGCGCTGGCAGGTGGATCAAAACTTGGACCATGTGCATGGTCCTTCGAGAGTCCGACGCACAAAGTGTTCAGTGAGTAAGTAACGGTTATGAGTCTGGCTTCATGTCAAGTTTTGAGTGAATTCAGATTAAGAGTAAAACACCAAAACGAAATGGTTGTCTAGTTTCATTTTTATTTCCCAAGCTGTTTTCAGCTGGCGCATTTCATTTTCGAAATCAAAAAAGCCTTAAAAGTAATCTATGAAAATTAGGCATTCATCATCATCATCCTTTCTTAAACTGTCAGTCAAAAGAAATAAATTGACAAAAGACTTCCGATGCATTCATCAGTTACTCCATTGGTAACAATTTGAATTTCAGGTTCTAAGAAATGACTTATGAATACTGTCCAGTAAATAAGAAACGATTCAAACAAATATATATTTCAAGTGATTTCTAACTGCCGGCTTTTTTTATTAGTATATGGACGCTATTTGGAAGAAATAACTGTCCTAGATAGAGAAGTCAGTGTCACATTTATTGACAATATCAGATAGTACCAATGCGATATACCCCAGCTGAGTTCAACAGACTAATTACGTTCTACTAAAGTATCTTGATAAGAGTGGGTGACAACTGGATTATTCTATTTATAACTGATGAAGTACCCGCACTAATACTGTTAGATAAGGCTCACCTTGTCAATAGGAATGAACAGTAATTACTGAAAATAATTCAAACAAACTAAGAAGTGCCTGAAGAAGTGTCGTGTATGTCGAGTATATTTTTCGAAATAATGAAAATCTTGCCATCATTACTTTCCATTATGCAAATTATTAAATTATAAAATCCCAGTCGACTGATAAAGTTTCTAACACCTCAAGTATTAATATTTTTATCTATCAGTCAAGGACTAAAATTGAACTAATTTGAACACTGCAAAGGTTTGGAACAAATGTTTCTGAACGTTTACAATTTGAATGATCTTCTGATGTAGTTGAAATCTCAAGAAAGCGTATCTTTAAGAGGTAGTAACTGCTACTTGTTTAGAATGTCTATAAATATGTGCCTTAATAATTTTCTCTGTTTAAACCTTTATGAAGTGTGTCACTTCAAATGTTACTTTGTGGCGCACGTTGTTTACATAATTCTATACCAGATCTGATATAATTAGTAAAATTTTCATCAGGAAACCCGCAAATGAAGCCTTCAGTTTCCTGGTTAGTAAGGTCCAATATCATTAACAGATATTTATAATTCTTAAGGATTGCTAAAAAACTAAACTGTGTAATAGTCAGATTCTAACAGAAACGCCATTGTCGTCTACTGTTGTGGTGATAAATTCCTTAGTTTGGACTAGTATATACATATATATATATATAAAATATCAGCATTAATATTTTAAAATATTTCTAGCTGGTTTTAAGACAATGCTTGACATTCCATAAGTCGTAGAGTGGAACTGTTAATCTCTTATTTAACAAAAATGAAAACGTTGCAACGGATTTAATCATTCTGACAATGAAAAATGTGGAAACATTATGCTTGTTTACAAACCTAGGACTTCTGACTCTCTAAAATGTTTGTAAGATATCTAGAGGTATAATTGTCCATCCCCAAACATTAAAATTAAATCATTATCAGTCGGAGAATGAAAATTATTACATGGTTAAATGGTTAAGAATGGGTCTGGCCAAACTTCCGGTTAGAATCTTAGTGAAATAATAACAATATAGTTGATATCTTATATCTATAAATCTTTTTACTATGGGAAACAATCGTCGAATACGAATGAAATCCTGATAATCTATCCCTTTCTCAAATCGATCTTGCTTATGATGTAATGTGTTATGTAAAACTCCACCATTTGTTTGCATCAAATTTTGACCCAAGACCTAACACGCTTTGCTTACTTTCCGGGTAATCATCAAGTGTGGTTCAGACTAGCGAAACGATAGGTAATCGATTTTAGTGAAAGTTGAAATAGCATATGACTCAATGGAATAAAGGTGGATGTAGTTGACATGACTGAATTAGGACGAAACAGACATTCTAGATCTCACTGTTATCCAAATTTTTTCTACCCTGAATTGTGTGAAAGCGCTGATGAACTTACAATGGCGTTATAAAATTCATTAAATTCGAAGCTTTTAACTCGAGCTTATATAGCTGTGTTTGAATAGTCATAAAAATTACTGTTTCTCCGTTTTTACTGTGTCTTCCCGTTCTTTAATAAATGAAAACATTAAACTACCGTGATATTTTTTGTATGTCCAATGACCATTAACAAAACTAAAAGAGGACAAATTACGTGGGTAATTGCATACTACTGGAATAACTTTTGGCAACAACTGATTAAAACAAAATCAAATTATCATGCATAACTACCAGTAAATAATTAAATGGCTTCTTTAACGCAAAAGAAACTCATTCAAAGGATTAC